GAAAATCAGTCCTAGCTGACTTTTGTGCAGAAATTGACAAGCTGACCCTAAAATGTATGTGAAAATGCAAGAAACTCAGAATAGCCAAAACAATCTTGAAAAAGAATGAAGTTACTTTTCCTAATTTTCCAAGACTCACATTTCCTAATTTCAAAACTTACCACAAGGCTACAGGACTCAAGTCTGTGTGGTACTAGCACAAAGATACTCGTAGATCAATTGAACAGAATTAAGAATTCAGAAATAAACCCTTACATCTATGGTCAACTGATTTTTGCCAAGGGTGCCAAGACCAACATCAATGGCAGAGAGAATAGTCTGTTTAACAAAAGGTGTTGGGACAATTAGACATCCACAAGCCAAAGAATGAACTTGGACCCCTAGCTCAGACCATATACAAAAATTAACTCAAAATGGATCATAAATCTAAATGTAAGAGCTAAAACTATAAAACTCTCGGAAGAAAACGCAAGAGTAAATCTTGATGACCTTGGCTTAGGCAATGGTTTCTTAGAAAGGATGTCCAAAGTATCAAACAAGCAAAGCAAAAAATAAATTGGAAAATGAAAAACTGTTGTGCTTCAAAGGGCACCATCAAGAAAGTGAAAAGACAACCCACAAAATAACAGAACCCATTTGCAAATTACATAGTAGCTGATAATTGACTTGTATCTAGATCATATACAGAACCAATGCAACTCAATAACAAAAAGAAATAGCCCGATTAAAATTAGGTAAAGGGATTTTGTTTACCGCTGCTCTGCTCACATTGCTACTGCGGTTCTGAGGCAGCAGGAAGAGATGCGGCCCCCGGACATCGTCAAGCTGTCAGAACCGAAGGAAGTGGAGGTGCTGGAGGTGGAGGAGGATTTTGAGCAGTTTCTGCTCCCAGTCATCCATGAGATGCGAGAGGACATCGCGTCGCTGACAAGCACTGGCCAGCATACCTGTGGAAGTAGAGCACGCTGTGGAAGATGGGCAATATGCTCATCCAGATCAAAACCCAGGTGGAAGCTTCAGAGGAGCATCCTCAACCACCTCAACAACCCGGGCAACGCAATGGAGGGCAGGGTGGCCAACAGGTGCCAGAAGGCCGAGGAGAAGGCCAAGGAAATGGTGAAGATGGCAGGGATGCTGGTGGAGCTGGCCCGGAGGATAGAGACGAACGAGTTGAGAGCACGGTCGGTGGTTTACAGCCAATGGATTCTGGTCATCTGGTGGAGATTGGCTGACACCCAGGAGAAGCTGAAACCAGAGAGCCTTTGGTTTTCTCTGTTTTCCTCTGTCCACGCTCTGTCCTCACTCACACTCAGTTCTCTGCTATGGTCTGTGGTTGATGAACTCAAAGTGAGTTTTGATTGTTAGCGTTTTTGTCTGGGGAAGTAAGTTTGTTTGGAAAATGCTCTCTCATACAGGAATGAGGACCTAGACCACGCTCTTGCAGCAGTCACATTTGTTCCCAGGCTTTGGTTGTTATTTCTAGATGTTTGAGGTGCTTTGCTCTTTCTTGTGTGATCTGATAGCTCCATGGAACTTTGGGTCTGTGTGTGACACATGAGCCTCACAGTTGGAGTTCTGCAGCTCTGGAGGGGCTGAAGGAGCCGCAATAATTCTAGAAGATGACTCCATACAGCAACTACTGAAGAAAGGACCAGACTTCAACTGGGAATGTGGATGGGCTGACCTGGCTTGGACCCATGAATCTGGAGAAGAGCTGGAGAATGGAGAGTATTATCTGTATTTGAGGACTTTAATTTCTGTGTGAGACCAAAGGAGGAGATATATATTTTGTTCAAAATTTAAATTTTATGTGGTACACTATCTGATATAACCTGTCTGGTGAGTTTGTTTGGACAACCTAATTCAGCTTTATCTGACATGGAACCTAAAATAGAGGATGAGATCTTGATATTCTGTACAACTTGATGTAATACCCTGATGCATTTCAGGGACTTAGCATAAAATGAAAGAGATTTGCAAAGACCCTTGAGGAGCTGGGGGATGACAGTGTGGAATTGTGCATTGGACCCTAAACTGGAGTGGAAGAGGCATCTTCAAGGTTCATACATTGTCCAGCTATAAGTTCATTTGAGTAGCAGACCTGATAAATATTTGGGGTCAAAACCCTACCATGTTTTTTTTTTAACTTACCGTATTAATCGAAGTATTCATTTGCTTGAAAAGAAAAATAATTGGGCAAATGATCTAAATGGACATTTCTCAAAAGACTATGTACAATGTGCCATGAGCACATGAAAAAATGGTCAACATCACTAGTCATTAGTGATGCAGATCACTAGAAAATGCAAATCAAAACTAGAATGAGGCCAGGTGCAGTGGCTCATGCCTATAATCCCAGAAATTTGGGAGGCTGAGGCAGGTGGATCACCTTAGATCAGGCATTCAACATCAGCCTGACCAACATGGTGAAACCCCGTGTCTCCTAAAAATACAAAAATTAGCTGGACATGGTGGTAAGTGCCTGTAATCCTAGCTATTCAGGAGGCTGAAGCAGGAGACTCGCTTGAACCCAGGAGGCGGAGATTGCAGTGAGCTGAGATCGTGCCACTGCACTCCAGCCTGGGCGACAGAGTGAGAGTCTGTCTCAAAAAAGAAAAAAAAAAGAAAAAAAAAAACTCGAATAAGATATAATTCACAACTGTTAGGATGACTAATAAAATTAAAATGGAAAATAACAAGTGTCTGTTTGGAGAGGATATGGAGAAATCAGAACCCTCATACATTGCTAGTAAGATGTTCAATGGTTATAGCCATTTGGGAAACTAGTCTGGCAGTTCCTCCAAAGGTTAAACATAGAGTAACCATGTGACCTAGCAATTCCACTCCTAGCTGTACAGCCAAGAGAAGTGAAAGTATATGCCCACACCAGATAATTTGCACGAATGTTCATAGCAGATTTATTCATAATAGCCAAAAAGCAGAAACAACTCAAATGTCCATCAATAGATGAATAAACAAAATGTGGCATATCCAGGCAATGAACATTATTCAGCCCCCAAAAGCAATGAAACACTGGTCCATGCTGCAGTGTTGGTGAACCTTGGAAACATTATGCCAAGCCAAAGAAGCCAGACACAAAAGGCCACAAAATTATATGAGTCCATTTCTATGCCAGATTGGAACAGGCAAATCCATAGAAAGGAAGACAACTGGTTGCCAGGACTTAGGGGGAGAGGAGAATGAGGAGTTAGTGCTTAGGTGTACAGGGCTCCTGGTGGGGGTGATAAAAACGTTCTGGAATGAGATCGTGGTGATGGTTACTTAACTCTATGAATATTTTTTAAAGTACTGCATTGTACACTTTAAAATTTTTTGTAAAGGCAGAGTTTGCCATGTTGTCCAGGCTGGTCTCGAACTCCTGGACTCAAGTGATCCACCCATCATGGCCTCTCAAAGTGCTGGGATTACAGGCATGAGGCACCATGCCTGGCATGTATACTTTAAATCGGGAAACAGGGTGAAGGGTACATGGGACCTCCCTGCACTGTCTTTAGAACTTCCTGTGAATCTATCATAACTCAAAATAAAGACAAGCCAACAAAAAAAGGTGTCAGATGAACTGGGCTCATGCAGGTGTTGGCAGAATTCAGTTCCCTGGAGCTAGGCCCTCCTTTCACTTTCCAGCCATCAATGATGCCAAGAGCTCTTCCCATCATCTCTGCATCTTTCTGACTTCGGCTTCTGGCCTCGGCCAGTGAAGCTCTGCTTGTATGAGCTCATCTCCCTATGTTAAGGTCAACCGATGAGTAGCCCGAATCACATCTGCAAAGTCCCTTTGGCCATGTAATGTAACATACTCACGGAAGTGACACGGGAATGAAGGTCATGGGGGCCGAAATTCTGCCTACCAGAAGTTGATTATTTCAAAGCTATTTGGGATGGAGAATCCCCAGAATCAGTGAGGAGGTGGATGTTGGGGAGGAGGAAGAGGAGATATGAAGGAGCTTTCCCAAGTTTGGGCCAACCGGGTGGGTGAAGGTGCCAGTCTCCGAGATGAGGGACGGGTGTGGGAAGAAGACGCGCTCCATTGTGACACGTGGAGTTTGAGGGGCCTATGTCTTCCTGGGGATTGTCCCCTAGGGGAAAGGTCTGGACAGCCATAAGAGGGACTGAGGTCACCCAGGACGAGGGTGGCGGGTGAAAAGGAGCTGCCGGGGCAGCGAGCCGCCGCGAGCCCCTCCTGGGATCTTCCACCCCAAGCTCAGCCTGCGATTCTCTCCCTGGACCCCTTCTCCTTCCTCTCCAAAGCCCTCCCTGGAAGGAGCCCCGCATGCTGATCACAGCTGCCGCTAGGGGGCAGAGCCGTCTACATCAAAAGCCACCCTGCTCCAGCGTGCGCGTGCGGGGAGATGCGCGAGCCCGTGTGCACGCACGGCGGGGCCTCGCTTGACGCTGAGTCCCGCGAGCTAGGCTCGCCACCCCCACCCCGTCCCCCTGCCGCTGGGAGCCCCAGGCAGTCCCCGGCCAAGGGGTTCCAAAAGGTCCCCTCTGTTGGGGACTGGGAAGCAGGCCCTGCCCCAGTGCCCCCCAAAGCGCCCGCCCTCCCCTGGTGTGGCTGGAGAGGGGTCTGATCCGGTGGGGCTGAGCCCGGAACTGGGTCTCCTCCTCCGGGCCCGGGGTTGGGGCTGGGGGCGGTTACTGCCCCTCCCCACCTCAGCCCCGCACCCTCCACGCCGTGTCTCCGGCATCGAAATTCACAGCAAAATACACAACTAGTGAAGAACTGGGCTCGGGTCCCAGAAATAGGCTGCCCTTTCCAGAGGGTGACGGGAATATCCTCCCTGCTTCCCGTTGCCATGGTTTCCGCTCAACCACCAGGCAGCCTGTTGCGCGGCAGCCATTTGCCGCGACGGGATGCTGCTGCCGCTGGTGTGCAGCAGGCCGCCACGCGAGGAATGGGACAGACTGCCCCGGAGACCCGCCCGCCACGGAGAAAAGGCCACGGATCTAAAGACATCGGAGGGCGGCTACGTGGGCCGGATGGACAAATGTTAGCGTCAGCACCTGTCTGCAGGGGCGCCCTTGGCCTGGGCGCTGGACCTAGGCCATCAGGACTGGAGAGCCTTCTTCTCTTCTGGCCAGAGAAAGAGCAAGGGGTGGCTTCCTGGCAGGTTCGGAGCTGGCACAGCACAACAGAGCCTAGAAAATCACTAGCAGGGCTGAGCTCAGGGTTCCACAGCTGCAGGCTTCCTGTTGGACCCAGTCTGCTCAAGGACTCCCTCACAGCCCAGTGCTTTCTGTTCACCCCAGGGTGCTCCCCGCCCAACCTCCTAGCCTCAGTGAGTGGGAAATGTCTGTGCTGCCCACTTGTCCTCAAATGCCTGTCCTTGCTCAGCTGCTCCCTGCTCTGCCCCATCTGGAGGGGACAGGGTGAGGAGGCGCCCTGGAGGCCTGACCCCAGCTTGGGCAACACAGCCTAGCGGGGTGATCACACCTGGGCCTGCAGCCCCTCCAGCACTTCCTGGGGCTGTGCCGGCCATTCCAGACCATTCCTGTTGGTGGAACTCATGACAGGGCTTGTTTACGCCAGTCACTGTGTTCTGGCACCTCCCCCACCCCGATCATTAACTTTTCTGGTCCTTTTCAGTTATTAAAATTCAGCCCAGACTCACATCCCATGGGCCTCCCCTCCCCATCCTTGGGGCTGGAATGGACTGGAATGGAGAGGAGGTGGCCTGACCTCCCTTCCCTCCCTTCCCTCCCTTCCCACCCTCCACCCCCCCAGGCCGAGGCAGGCAGAACTTGTGCCAAGGTGAGGGGGTGAGAGGGGCCCCATCTTTGCCTGGACTTTTTGATGCCTGCCAATGGGATCGCCCTTTTCCGAGGGCGGACTCAGCCCCCTGGTTGCTAAGGCTAAAGACCCTTTGGGATTGGGAAGCCCTGTCCTCTCTGGGCCCCACCAGTGCCTACGGGACCCCCTCAGACCTCTGGCTCCCACACCTTGTGCCCCCGGAGCAGAAGGCAGCTAGGGTAAGAGTGCCTTCAGTCCTGCCAGGTTCAGCAAATGTCCTGCCTTCAGAAACCTCGGCGGGCAGACAGGCAGGTGCCTGCTCAGGAATACGGCATGCCCCCCATCCCCAGGGGGACATACCCAGCTCTCCCCACAGCCTCCGGGGACTGCGGGCTGTGTCCACAGCACTGGCAGGGCCTTATTTTCTCCCAACATTTTGGCATTTTATGGTTTAAAAACAAAGCATTCCCCTAAGGGCAGCCTGTTTCCGCACCGGGCTTCTGTGGGAGTGAGTGAGGCTGCTCTCCTGAGGGAAGTGTGATTCTTGCCGGGGTCAGAGGCCAAGACGAGCCAGGAGGGCACTTACCCCTTTGGGACATCCTGCCCTTGTCCTTTCTGTTTTCTCTACTCAGGCCTCTCCCCTGAGCTGAGGAAACCAAGAGAATTCTTGTCCTTTTGGATAAAGACCTTTTCCTAAGATTATTTTTTCCTAGAAATGAGCATACCTTATTAAGATATTTTGGACTGGCTGGGCGCAGTGGCTCACGCCTCTAATCCCAGCACTCTGGGAGGCCAAGGCGGGGTGATCTCGAGGTCAGGAGTTCGAGAGCAGTCTGGCCAACATGGTGAAACCCCATCTCTACCAAAAATACAAAAAACTAGCCGGGCGCAGTTGGGCATGCCTGTAATCCTAGCTACTCAGGAGGCTGAGGCAGGAGAATTGATTGAACCCGGGAGGTGGAGGTTGCAGTGAGCTGAGATCGTGCCACTGCACTCCAGCCTGGGTGACAGAGCGAGACTTCGTCTAAGGAAAAAAGAAAAAACAAAACATATTTTGGACTGATTTTGTGTGTCCTGATGCAGTTTTTCTTTGTGCATTAGACATAGTTAAACACACAGTGCAGCCAAGTGCAGGGCCACACTGCCTCGCTGCTCTCTTCCCTCACAGAGCCGGGCACGACAGCTACGGGCACAGGGAGCAATTGCCTGGAGCCAGAGGGGGCAACACCAGCCCAAGGGCAAATGGGCAACCCTGTGCGAAAGGCTTCGGCAGCCAGACCATCTACTTTAGAAGAAAGGTGAAGAAAAAGCCCCCAGGAGAGGAAGCAGCCCCTAACCCAACTGACAAGCAATCCTTTCGCAGAGACAGAAGGGCCTTCAGTGAATTGGTTTCAAAGTGTTTGATTTCTTAAAATCAGAACAATTGATCATTAGAGAACTGATTAAGCTACAGCCGCTGTTGAATAAAAGGTAAAAATAAACTCCTTCATTTGAATTCCAAATTCAGGCTTGGAGGTGACCTAGCCATGAGGCAAACTGGCTGTGGGTGGACAGGGCTGCACACAGAGCCGGTGGGTGGACGTCACCTGAAGTCTTCTCTCCTCCCAAAGTGTGGGTGCTGGGACCCCAAGGGCGCAGTGTGAATTTCCCAGCACTTAACACCAGGATAGCCCAGGTACAGAGGCTGCTGAGGGGCTGATGCAGGTTCTCCAAGGGCCACTGCTGTGCCCAGAATGAGCCACTAGTTCCGGATCAGGAGGAGCAGGGGCCGAGGGGGGGTCCCAAAGGAGAGACTGGTTCAGGGTCAGCTGCAGTTTACCAACGGGTGCAGAGGTACTTTGACATTTTAGCCACAGGCACAGCCCTACCAGTGAGTACCAGCTGTTGTGACCGGAGATGGCAGGGGTCAGAGCCAGTCCTGGGACCCAATTTCTCCCCTCGTCTGTTACCTGGAGGGGTCATCAGGGCCTAATGAAGACTTTTGAGGTTTGTTAGCCACGAAAGAATTACGGTGCCTCTCCATATGGAATTCAGCAGAACTCTCACCTTTTAAAATGGTCTAGTAGACACTGAGTAGACACAAAAGGACATTTACAAAATATGTGTAAGTGTAAAAAACAATACAGCGAACTTCTGTGTACTCACCACCAGCTTAGAAGAAAGGTAACGTTCCCTTTGAAGGACCTTGAGTGACCCTTCTCTTCGCCCCATGTCCCCCACCCCCACTTCAGAGGTGACCACCTTCTTGAATTTTACATTTACCACTCGTGTGTTTCTTTACAGTTTCACCACCTTTGCATCCCCAAACGATATATTTTTTAGTTTTGCCTGTTTTGAATTTTATATAAATGGAATCATACTGTCTATATTATTCTATAACCTGCCTTTCCACTGAATATGGTATTCACAAGACTAAGAGCTATAATCCATTTTTCCCGCAAGCATTCTGTTCTGTCGTGGGATTAAACTACAACTGATCTCTGTATCACCTGCTTGGTGGATGGGGGAATTGTTTCCACTTTTTGGGCTGTTACCAGAGTCCTGATGCCCAGCACAAGTTTCACTAGTGGGTATATCCAGGGGAAAATCCATGGGCCACCAGAAATGTACACTTGCAACTTTGCTGGGCAATGACAAATTGTTTCCTCAAGTGGTTCTACCGATCCATACGCCCCCCTCCCCCCCGTAGCGTACAAGCTTTCTAGCGGTTTCACAGCCTTGCCAACACTTGATGTTGTCAGACCTTATTTTCCATATGGATAACCAGCGTAATTTATTGAACATCTCCTTCCCTCACTGGCCAGCAATGCCAACTTTGTCATACATTAAGGTTTTTGTTTTTGTTGTTGTTTGTTTGTTTGTTTTGAGACAGGGTGTCACTCTGTCACCCAAGCTAGAGTGCAGTGGTGTGATCTCAGTTCACCACAGCCTCGACCTCCCGGGCTCAGGTGATCCTCCCACCTTAGTCCCCCGAGTAGCTGGGACTACAGGCGCCCGCCACCATGCTCCGCCAATTTTTTGTAAGTTTTGTAGACACAGGGTCTCACCGTGTGTTGCCCAGGCTAGTCTCAAACTCCTGGGCTCAAGTGATCCTCCTGCCTCAGCCTCGCAAAGTTCTGGGATTTCAGGCATGAGCCACTGTGCCCGGCCTGCACTATCTTAAATATGGCACCTTTATAATAATTTTTAGAATCTGCTGAGGCAACTCCACCCACCCCCTCCTTCTCTATGAGTGTCTTAGCTATGCCATTTGTTCTTCCATATAGATGTAAGAACCACCTTGTCAAGCTCCATTCACAAATGGCATTTAGATTACAATTACGTTCAATCTAAAACTTAAATTGGGAAGAACTGGCATGCTCAAAACCTTGATTTTTCAGAAAATCCTGGATATCCAAGGTAATGGCAGCCCCGTAAATCTGGAACTCTCAACAGAGCTTCCAAACCAAAATCATTTTTAAAAAGCAAGCACAAATAAAACCACCCAAAACTCATGTCCTCAGCATAATCAGAAGACAAAGAGCATTTGAACTTCAAAGTACCTAAAACAGATCAAGTCACAAGGATGGGGAAATAGATCCTCACAGGAAATACAAACGGAAACAAGTGAAGCAAACCATATATCAAACAACAACACAACCACCTTGAAAGAGAAAAAAACTCAGCAAGCAGCCTGAACGCGGTATGGGACTCTATGTCCTCAAGGGAAAGACAAAAAGGACTCTAGACAAACCTGGAAATCTACATAGTAGTTTTCTTCTTTGCAGAGACATGAGTTGATGATTCTGAAACTACTTTCCAAGCATTCTAGGACTGAGCAAATACATAAATATATTGTGGATAATGGGAGCCAACTTTCTCAGCAAGAGGGAAAGAATTTACCAACCAAGAAGTAGGTGGAAGACTAGAATGGACCTGGTGCTGTTGGGTTGAAATTGGATGGGTCAGTATGAACTCATGGTAGATAGATACATAGACAGATGTGGGACTGTATATACATATATATACATATATGTATCTGCATATATGTATGTATTCTCTATGTGTGTGTAATTTCCCAGTAAGCTTCTAAGTGCCATTATCCACTCAAAATGAATCAGGGATCCTAGGGGAAATGGCTGATTCCAGAAAAGGAGACCAGGGAAAGTCAAGATGAGCCTAGAATACCCTGTTCTTCCAGAAAGTAAGAAACCCCCAAGTCCACACTGATAAAAAGAAATAAGTATAGTTGTACACTGAATAATGACATTTTGGTCAAAAACAAACTGCACATATGACAGTGGTCCCACAAGATTATTATACTGCATTTTTTTTTGAGATGGGGTCTCACTCTGTTGCCCAGACTGGAGTGCAGTGGCATGACCTCAGCTCACTGCAGCCTAGACCTCCCAGGCTCCACCAATCCTCCCACATCAGCCTCCCTAGTAGCTGGCACCTGCCACCACGCCTGGCTATTTTTTAAACTTTTTTGTAGAGATGGAGTCTCATTATGTTGGTCAGGCTGTTCTTGAACCTCTAGGATCAAGTGATCCTCCCGCCTCAGCCTCCCAAAGTGCTGAGGCTACAGGTGTGAGCCACTATGCCCAGCCTATAATACTGCATTTTGACTGGACCTTTTCTAGGTTTAGATACACAGATACTTACCACTGTGTTACAGTTGCCTACATTATCGTGCTGTACAGGTTTGTAGCCCAGGAGCAATAGGCCATACCATATAGCCTGGGAGTACAGTAAGCTACACCATCTAGGTTTGCGTATGTGCACTCTAGGATGCTCGAACAATGATGTAATCGCCTAACAACACTCTTCTCAGAACATAGCCCCATCATCAAGCAACACATGATGTAAAGGGGGAGAAGAGAAGCTCTTTCTCACAGAACAAAGCCAAATAATAAATGAGGAAGGAATGATGGAAATAGGAAATCGCCATTTGGCAACTATTGTAGTAATGAGTTTCAAGCAAAAAATAATCAATGAATGAAAAAACTCGTGGGAACTGGACAGCAGAGACACCTGGAAGATGCCACCTTAACCACATGATCAAAGTGATCATCATCAGCAATGGGACAAGGGGACTGGCATCATGGCCTCCTGATGCCATACACAGAGAGGGACGCAGCACTTCTGAGCTATTGCCATGGAAAGTGCAAAACCTGGATGGAATCATGAAGCAACATCAGCCAAGCCCCAACACACAGAAGTGCTGCAAAATCACTGGCCCATTTGCTCCTGAAAACTGTCAAAAGCCACAAAGAACAAAGAACTGGTCCAGACTTAAGGAGACCAAAGGGCTAGGTCAACTGCATAGAACGTGTGATCACAGGTGCTCCTTTTCTGGAAAGAACTTTATAGAAAAGATATTATTGGCACAATTAACAAACTCTAAGGTCTGTAGATTATAGTATTTTTTTTTTTTTTTTTTTGGAGACAGAATCTTGCTCTGTCACCCAGGCTGGAGTGCAGTGGCATGATCACAGCTCACTGCAGTGACAACCTCCCAGGCTCAAGCAACCCTCCCACCTCAGCCTCCCCAGTAGCTGGGACCACAGGTGCACAACTACATGCCTGGCTGAATTTTTTTAACTTTTTGTAGAGATGGGGTCTCACGTATTACCCAGGGTGGAGTGCAGTGGCACGATCATGGCTCACTGCAGCTTCCACCTCCTGGGCTCGTGATCCTCCCGTCTCAGTCTCCACAGTAGCTGGGACCACAGGCATGCACCACCACACCTGGCTAAATTTTCTTGTATTTTTTTGTAGAAATGGGGTTTCACCGTTTGCCCAGGCTGGTCTTGAGCTCCTGGGCTTAGGGATCTGCCCACCTTGGCCTCCCAAAGTCTAGGATTGCAGGTATGAGCCACCGTGCCTGGGAAACACTTGTTGGTGTCCGTCCTTTTGAATAGAGCCATCTTAGTGTGAAGTGGTATCTCATGTGGCTTTGATTTGCATTTCTCTGACGACTGGTGACGTTGAACATCTTTTCATGTGCTCATTCGCCTCTCCTATATCTTATTTGGAGAAATATCTATTCAAATCTTTCACTCACTTTAAAAATTGGGTCATTTGTCTTTTTATTGTGGGGTTTTGTGAGGTTCTTGATATATTCTAGATACAAGTCCCTTATCTGATATATAATTTGCAAATTTTCTATCTCATTCTGCAAGTTTTCTTTTAACTTTCTTTTTAGTAATATTTGCAGTGCAGAACTATTCAATTTTGATGAAGCCCAATTTATCTATTTTATCTTTTGTCACTTGGACTTTGGGTATCACGTTTAAGAAATTATTGCCTGATCTAAGGTCATGAAGATTTACACCTACGTTTTCTTCTAAGAGTTTCATAGTTTTGGGGCTCGCATTTGAGTCTTTAATACATTTTGAGTGAGTGTTTCTGTATGGTGTGAGGTTGGAGTTCAGCTTCATTCTTTGGCATGTAGACATTTAGTTGCCCTAGCACCATTTATTAAAGAGATGATT